TACCTCAATCTAAAACAGACGTAATGGCCTGCAAGGTTTACGATTGCGTCTTGTTTTCCATTTGGCAGTTCGGCTTATTTACATAGAACATGAGAACAGACAGCAGTCTCAGTATAATTTGCATACAATTGCAACAAGTTCTGTAGAGGAGAGACATTAGAGATGGTGACAGGTTTATAAATAAATAATAAAACTCTTTTAAAAATCAGAAGAGGCTTAATAACACTTAAAATAAATATTTCGTAATACATATTACTTGTGTAAATATATGTTGCAAGTCTTGATTCACGACCTGCCTCACGTATCCATCGCTATGCTGAGGTGTAGGCCCCCGGGAGACACATAATCAACGTACCGCTGGGATATACAAATATGTACGTTGCATGCGGATTGGCCTGAGCTGACACTACCATGTCTGTCAGCCAGAAACACAAGTCGGGCAAGAGGAGACACACAGAGACATTAAACTATGGAGGTTAATTTGACTAGGGCCGCCGTTTTGTGCAGATGAATCGCCACGGGCTGACTTGGACACAATGCCGAGCACTCGGCACACGTCACTAATGCAACAAGGCTGCAACAAAAGACAAAAGGATAAGCTGAAGTATTTGTGCTGCTTCGGGTGAATGCTCGTTTTGAAATCTAACTGCCTGCCTCTTGTGATCCTATTTTGTGCAGCCCTCATATATACATAGTCTTACACATGTGTGTGTGTGTGTGTGTGTGTTGCCGGGCAATAAAATGTCTTCCACTTGAAGTCGCTTTTCTGGCTCGCTTTAAGGGGGCAACGTTGCGTATGCGCAATTATTAAATGCAGCATGAGACCATTTGGCAGTGGAAACACGAGGCAAGTGAGCGTAATTGCTGTCAGCCCCTCAACTGTGCCGCATTACGAATGTTTTGTCAGTTGAACTGACTGTTGATGCTATTAACATTTACTTGTGACGAGTGGAAAAAAAATGCGTGACAAATGAACCGTGGGAAAGTGGGAAAAAGTGGGGAAAAAACAAGAAAATTACTAAACTAGGTCGGGCTGAAATTTAAAGATCTTGCAGATGAATCAAATGGAACTAATCTTAAACAGAAAATACTACATATTATAAATAAGGATAATGGTACTGAAACATATAAAAGGACGCTTAAACCCCTTTTAAAACCATGCTATATTATTATATAACTCGTACCAAACCCCAAGTGATGTGTTGCCATTCTGATGGCCAAATTGTGACTTAAATGCCTCAATCCTTTCAATCATCATTAGTCGCAACCATATATATACTATATAGTTTTAGCTTCTAGCTAAATCTATTGCGGCCCGCCACCACGAAAAATGTTTCAGCTCGATTTTAAACAATTTTTCGGCTTCTCGCTTCACATTCACCATGCCCCATGCAAATCCGATAACAGGCAGCTATAAAAAAAAAGGAAACAAAAAATGGAAGGGATATACAAAAGGATAATAAAAATCGGCAGCATGCGGCGCAACAACAGCCGCTACACAACCTCGCCGGATGCACTAAAAATCGTGAAGGGAATGGGTCCTTTTTACCAGGCCAGGGTTGATTGCTCCCGGGCCAGGGCCAGGACCAGTGACCAGGACCAAAACCGAACCGATGCGATCCTCCTGGCTGCCGCCTCTCTGTCCGGCAATGCCTCAATTCAGTTGCCTGTCCAAGTTAATGTCTGTGTTTCGCTACAGAAACACTGAAAGATATTATTTTTCCTAGAATAAAATAAAGAAATCTTAATGAAATTTATACCAAATCACTAAATACTTTATTCTTATTATTTGAAATAAGTATATTAAAATTACTAAACTAGTTTCATGTGATCTTGGTTACTTTTCTCACTGTGCAGCTGTCGCTGCATTTCTGGATGGCACACTAATTTGATTTTTTATACAAATCGACAGATAGAGCCCGCTCTTATTTCGTTATCGAGTTTTGTTTGTTAACGCTTAGCTTGGCGCTCTTTTTTTCCCCCTTCATTTTGCGCTACATCGAAAACAATTTTCGATCGCCTCTGCAAACGGAATGGCGACGAAATAAAAAATTTGCATTCAATGTCAATTTATGCAAATCCCATTGCCAGACCTTTGCGGATACTTGCGGATACGGACAAGACAAAACTGTGGCCAATTGTCGAGTTATATGCTAATTATCCAGCCATTGCATCTAACCTAAATTTTTTGCCGCGAAAGCTTTGTGTTCGCTTTCGTAGGAAAAATTTAATTCCCTTTGAATTACATTTTGACCGGGAAACGACAAGAATAAGTTGTGAGCGAACGGAAAAAAATTACAGGAAAATATGAATGGGTCAGGCCAGTTTGGGCCAGGCCAGGACGAGAAAGTGAGTGCTCTCTCTCTGCTCTGGACATGGCCGACAAAACGAACAATAGAGCGTAAAATAAGTGCAAAGGCAGTTGGAAGCGGGGCAGCGTTTAGTGAAGAAAAAAAAACTTTGCCAACGCGCCAGAGAATTCAACGAAATGAAAAATGAACAAAGTGCCCTAATGGCAAGGAACACGGCCGCTTGTACTCATTTCAAATAAGTCGAAAAACCATAGTCGACCAAGAAGAAACCCTGTAAGAGATATAACAACCAGCAAATCTGAAGTTAACCAGATCAATGGAAATAGTTTAGAAATATAGATCATTCCTTCAGAGATGGAAGAACTTTCAAATTACTTGAAAGTTATGATAAATTACAAGATTCAGGCGTTAGAATATCTAAATAGACTTTTTTGGTAACCATTTTTATCTTTATCATTCTCAAGATCATATTACCTATGATTAAACACAAAGAATGCTCCAACATAAAATATTAAAATTAATTAAAATATCCCTTCACTTTTCTTGATGAACCCAACATACCCTTGCATCGCTCAAGCACCTAGTATGAAAATATATAAAAAGAAAACCCCCCGGAAAGAAGGAAAGCGGCAAAAAAAAAAAACAAAAATCAGCTTCAATTGAACAGTTAAACTTCCATTAATTGTACGCCCCGCCAGTGCCACGTGGCCCTCGGACTGGACTCGGACGCGGAGTCCTTCCGTTTGCCAATCCAATCGCATTCCGCTGCCAACTGTGTCAGTTTCGAATTACAAATGCATGAACTGCTTACCCAAACAGGTCAGCCTGCAAATTCGCGGTGAATTGTGTGCAGAACCGGCAAAGGCGAAAGCAAAGGCATCGACAAATAAAAATGAAAATGGTTCGGGGGGGCCGGCCAAATCAATTAGATGATTGTATCATTAGGAACAAAAACAGGCGGCCAGGAAATTAACCAACATTTGGGCAGCTAATTGGCTGCCTAAATGGCTCAAGCTGCTCGTGTGGAAATCCATTGAGGGGCACCAAGCCCCATTCTATCCGATCCCATTTTCCCCGTCTTCAATGAACCGCACAGCGTAAAGTGTCGTCGGCCACACTTCATTGAAGGTTGTCAAAAAATTTTCAATTTACCAAATTAGTTCAGCAGATGTGTGTAGGCTTCAATTGGGAGAACTTAAACACTGAGAAAACTGGGCTCAGTAAGCTATCTTGACCCTCTTTTGCCTGAGTTTTACCCAAAATCCAAATATATTTTCAAGTTTTGTTGACATTTCCCTTGGAAGGTTTTCAGTTCTCAGTGCATCGGCAGGAAAAGAAATTAGTATTAAGTGAAATGTAATGATGACAACGCCAACTGAGAAATTGCCAGCTGACAATAATGAGCTGGCCGGACTCAACAAAAAAATAAAGAATTCCGCTTCCCTTAAGCTTCTTCCGACAATTACACGGACAAGGGTCAAAGGAAAGACCTTTAGCGCATTTAAGCGCATTTTTCTCTCTTTTTTAAGTAAACTTTTCACTCAAGCGATGGAGAAAAATGAAAACCAATACGCATAAATAATAAAAAGAGCATTAAAGGGACGTGGGGCGCAAGTGAAAACATAAATCATTGACTCTGAAATGAAAAGCTTGGCGCAACAAGTCGTCGAAACAATAAAAAACCCACCCTGGAAAACCCGCCCTGTAACCCAACTCCGATGCTTCAAAGGTGCCAGCGAGCATTTGACCGACAGCAATGAAATATATGTTAAATTCAAAAAAATTAGAATTAATGGCTCTGGAAATATAATGCCAGCAGAAGGGATACATAAACGACTGAGAAAAATGCTTTAAAATGATTTTATTATTTAAAAGTTGATAGTGGAAGTATTTTAAAGTAAAAGCTCTTGAAAAAAAAAGAGGAGTGATTTCGATAAATGTGAGTTTTTGTATATCAATTCAAAGTATTTCAGGAATTGTAAATAAATATATATAAATCAGAAGATACATTAATAAAACATTATTTATATTGTCTTGCTGATAATAGAGTTAAAGCCTAACCAAATAAAACGTATTTATTATAAATTGTTTCGTTGTGATAATCAATTAAATCAATTTTTTCAAAACCACATCAATAATTGTCAAAGTTATTTATTTTTCCCAAAGAATGTGGTGTCGAAGCAATGTGATTGATGCCCAATGTGATATTTAAAATTGTGTTTCTTTTTTTTTTTGCTACACTCAGAGCTAAACTAATGACTCTCGGTGACCCCTCCCCTTCCCTCACCTTCCATTTTGTATATTTAAAACAAATATACATATATTTAAAATGTGTTTTTTCCGCTTTGACGGAAAATGGGAAGTGAAAAGCGCAAAAAACAGCAGCTCGCTCGCGTTTATGTTAAATGCTGCGACGTAACACGCTTGTCGGCGTAAACAAGCTTGGCGAAGTTTACGCATAATTTTAAAAAACACACGTTGCAGGCACACAAGCGTACACTCACTCACAATGCGTATAAATTATGTCAAAAGCGGCGCGTGTGTGTGTGGGTGAGTGTGTGTGCGTGCAGTCGCCTTTGTGCGGCCCCGTTTTTTTGTAGCACACTTTTGAGCGCATTGAGTGCTTCCCTTTTGGCAGTCGACAAATAATTGAAAGCTCCAACGGCTTGCATGCACAACTCGGCTACGTTTATTCCTCGACAGCTATTGAAAAACTAAATTATAATACAATTAGGGCGGGGCCGTCAACGGGTTAATCAGAGAACAGGATCATCCAGGTGTTCAAGGCAAGAAATAATGCTGTAAGAAAAGTATGCCTTAAGGAGTGGATTTTTTTTTTAGATTTTTGAGGTTAGTTCTCACCTTGGGATCGGCCTTCTTCCAGCACTGATGAAACCACCAGGCCTTGTGGCACAAGGTATCGCCCTCGGGATGAACGCAGTCCTTGGACATGTTTATTAGCTTGTCGCGCATCGAGAGCGGAACGGTGGCAAAGAGTTTCTCCAGATGCACATCCCCGTTCTCGTCAACCACTTCGATCTCGTGGAAGAAACAGTTCATGTAACACTTGAGCTTCTCATCCTCATGGATCTCTCCATCGCTAAACTCCTTGATGGCAGCTGTAAGGATACATTTTCTTATTGCTAAGGATAATAATAATGCTGAATACCAGTAACCATTCATTTGATACTCAAGAATGTAGCGATGCATGGAAATGCACCACTTGGCCAAATGGTCGAGATCACGATGGTTGCAATAATAGGCTCACTTGCGGAGCAGGACCACTATGTTACAAGCTCACCCTCGGTAACGCCCGTTTTCTCCACACATGCATCGTGAAAGGGCTTGGCCATTTTGAGGATGCCCGGCGGTGGATACTGCAATTAAAAATCGTTGCTTAAGTGGGCGTGGCAACGTGGCCGGGCACTTCATTAACCCACGTTCTCGTCACGCTGCGCTGCAGCCGGGGGCAGGATCAGCGCTCCGCTGAGCACCGACAAGGCGATTAAAAGGACAGACGCACTGACACGCCGACCAAAGCCATTCAAAGCCATTTTAATGTGGCTCTCTCAGAGTTCCCTGCCCGTCTCGTACTCGTTCAGTTTCCTTTCCTTTTCGACTGTGAAACAGCAAAAATTGTCCTCTGTCTCGGCCTTGTTTGTAAATTCTGAGTAAAACAAAAAAGGACCCCAGGAAAAAATAAACGTGAAACGTGAAACAAAAGCGACGATGCATAAGAGAGTACACGGCCTAGGACGAGGGCAAGCGTCGGATGGGACAGGATGCGAATCCGAATAAGAATCAGGAAGAGGATGAGGATGGGGATGATGATGAGGATGAGGATGCAGATGCTGTTGACGACGATGTGCCATGCGTGACAGCTGGACAATGACACTGTCGGTAGCTGTAAGTGCGTACACCGAGGCGAAAAGGGATATATACAATGAAATTCTTGATTATTGCTAGTTTAATTCTTCTTAACTCTAATTTTTTAAACAAAGAACTATTTAGTTTTGATATTAAATGAGTTTTTTTCTTTTCTAGGGTTTCATTTTTATGTCATTCGATTAACCGAAGAGGATATTATATTTTGGTAAGCAAACAGTAATCATGATAATATATTTCTCTTATTTATATGTTATTTGAAATATATTAAACGTGAATGAATGAATGAATTATGAAATATGAATTTCGCCCATGTTTATGAGTACCAAGCCGTAGCATTTTTGCCGTCTTTCTTGTAATTTTATTTCTTTGCAAGGTATTTTCATTTCCAACCCTATAATACAATATATTCTTGATCAGCATCAACAAACGCGTCGATCTACCAATCCATTATTTTATAAAGGGTTTAATTCTTCTTACAATTCTCAATCAAAAACTAAATTTAATTTTTCAATGAGTATGAATATTTATAAATCTAGTAACAAATAGCTCAGAAAAGCTTTCCAATTTTAATTGATTGATTTTTTGTCTAAGGTGCGATGTTTGCAAGGGTATACCAACGGCGGCTTCCCAAATACAGCTTCCTTTCTTGTTTTGTTGTATATTTTTTTTGTATTTTTAGCCACGAGAATAGCAAAAAAAATCATTTGTTTCTTGCCAGCTCAGCGCACGCTAAATTAATTCCAACCGCTGATGGCCGAACAAAAAGCTCCCGCCAAAGCGGAAACGGAACTGTGCCCGAGACGTCAGCGAAGTCGTCACAAGTCTACAATTGTCGTGTTTCGTCTGACAAACACATGCCCACGTGGCACTTCGCCATCGCTGCCCTCTCTGGTCCGCGTATTCTCATGAATTCTGTGCTCAGGTCGACTGTGATATATTGCCTAGCTAAGGATTCAAGGATTCAGGGAATCGAGGATTCCTTATGATGTATGGTGGGCGGCAATGGAAATTTTTTCACAAACCAAGTGAACATTTAAAGGCGGAAACGGTTTATCTTCTTTGCACAATTAAAGATTGAAACAGTAGTGCGTAGTTTGTCGAATAACTACATTTTTAAAATTAGAATTCTAAGAATTGGTAATGAAGTCTGAGAAATTTAGGAAATATAAGTTTAGTTATTATAATAAAATAGATATAACAACATTTTTGTTATATTATTTATACTGAAATTATAGAATATATTAGTTTCATCTTAATATTATTACATATATATGAATTTATGAGTTTGTTTATAATATCATTGAATATTAAGAAGAAACTTATAGATTATTTCATATTAAGAAGAAAATCATATATTTTATGAATTTCAAATCTTAAAGCTTATGAATTTTCAAGAGCTTTCTCTGCTCCTTGAATTACCCAACAATTTTAGGGACTGTTATTCTTATTATTTATATATTATAATAATATTATATTATATTATATTATATTATTATATTATATTATATAATATTCACATCTCTGTATACCCCCCACCTGTCACCGGATGTCCAGGGTATCAAAATATAAAATTTCCCATTCGTTCGCTTCTTTTGAAATTGTAAAACCGAAATACACAAAACAAAGACTTCAACTTGCGCCCAACTGTCACTTTTGTTTCATCAAATGTCAACGCAACAACCGAAACAAAGCCACAAAACGACATTCGCCCCTCAACTTGCAACCACCCAACCACCACCCACTCCCACTCCCACTCGTCCTCGGTCCACACCAACATCCTCGCACACACTCTTGCTGGAATGGAGGACGACGAATGAAATTACAGCAACATCGCATTTTTTGCAGGACGAATATAGAGGACTGGTGTGTATATGTAGTACATATGTATGTATTGTGTGCGGCATGAACGATGGATGGTTTTTTAATTGCCATTTCAATTTTCGTGTTGCAACGCGTCGTTTGCCTATGCTTGGGCAACCTTCGACCCCCTCGGCCGCCTTCGTCCTGGGCCTTCTTTAGCCTTTGGCTCCTGCAGGTTCTACCTACCTTTGTCCCAATGCCCTCCGTTAGTGCGAGTAGTTATGGCAAAAATTCGATACTGCACTATACACACACACACAGCAACACGCCACGCAGAGATTGTTTGACAACCGCAGTCACAATTGAATTTGCTTTATTGCCGTTTGCAGCGCTTGGCTTTTATATTGATTTTGGCCAAGTTCGTCGCTGTGCCGTCGCTTGGCGTAACCTCAACCGAACTGACTGCCGCACTCAGTTATCGGGCCAATTGACGCTTCATGTGGATGCAATGTGTCTCTGTAATGGCATCGCCCATATAAGTGCTGGCCCAAAACTCAAGGGTCTCGCCCCCTGACGTGTCTTTAATGATTAGGTGCAGAATTCCCCTATGCACTGGGAAATATGTAATATATTTGGATCGAACTTACTGGATTATTAAACAGAGAGTGAGGGTGCATTTAAAAAACTAGTAAATAGAGTTAAATTCAATAGAATTTGATAAACATTTACCTTAAAACTAGCAGAGATATATTTAATAAAGAAGAAGGGAAGCTAACTTCGAGAAGCAAACGTGTTTATTATACCCTTTAGGTTACCTATAGGATCTTGGGATCAGTTTTAAAATCGATCATAACTTAGCTAAAGATGTACTGGTCTTAATTTTGAATGCTTTTCTTTGATGGCTTTTATTAAGATACTAGCATATTGGGCTTTAATATCTAAAAAAATTTTAAATGTTATCAATTTTTTACACTTTTAATGATTACAAAACTTTGAAAATTTGAGTCTTTAATGATTAAGATTTTGATTGTTAATCAGAATGTATGGCAATGATTGACTTTTTAGCAAGAAAACCTAATATATGGATACATATAAAAATCGATACTTTTAAATGGTAATTTTTAGGGTAAATCAATATTTTTTAAATACCATAACTAAGCCACAAATCCATTAAATTCAATTCGGATAGCTTTTTTGTGCTTGTTTTTATGGGGTTTAAAAATCTGCATATTGAGTTTTACAATTTAAATTATTAATTTTTTTTGTTAAATTATTGATTATTATAACGATGTTACCCCTTAGAAAACTTTGAAAAAATTTTGAAAATTTTTAATTTCTGAAAGACATGGCTAGATCGATTCAGCTTTTAATGCTGATCAAGAATATATACGGTTTGTAGGGTCGGAGATGATTCCTTCACTGTGTAACAAACCTTTGAATAAAATTATATAAGGGTAAACTATTTATTTTAAATCCCAATAATGACCTCTTTTCCTCTGTGTATACAAATGGCAAATGCTTTGTGGGTCAAAGCATTGCAGACTAAATCAACTTCCGAGCCAGACGAAGTGAAGTGAAATGCAAAAACGTAAACTTCCGAGCTTGCAAAAGTAATCAAGGAAGAGCAATCCCCACAATAGCCACTGCCAGCTTTTGTTGTCCCATCCAGGATGGACGGGGCTGATTTTGTAAGTAGCTCAATATCGGGGGGATCCTTTTGAGTTGAAGTCCACTTGAGCCTTTTCGAATGGATGCAGCAAAGGCGGCCTTCTCTGCACAGCCAACAGGTAAATGCAATTGAGAAAGGCCAACAGAAAGGCTATATGGTACAAGGACTCAATCAATTAATTTCGAAGTAACTCATTTTTGTTCTTTAGTTACAATTTTTGAAATTCTAATTTATAAAGCCGATTAAAGTGGTTTTTGTTTTATAAATGCTTCACCTATAACCATTTATTCATATTTATTTAAAACCTATTAATCATAGTAAGCAAGGAGGTCGCAACTGATGGTTCATTGCCTGTTCTCTGACTTAACACCTTTTCTCCGAGTTCCGCCCTAAGAGTATTTCTTAAATCGTATATTAAATCTTAAACCAAAAAGTAGTGGACAGGATCAGCCTTCTTCCAGCATTGATGGAACCACCAGGCCTTGTGACACAATGTGTCGCCCTCCGGATGAATGCAATCCTTGGAAGCGTTCATCAATATGTTTCTCAACTTTTCCCCGGGAATAGCATTGAATAGTTTTTCCATGTGAACATCGCCATTTTCGTCCACCACATCAAACTCATGGAACAGACAGTTCATATAGCATTTGAGAGCTTCATCCTCATGAATTTGCCCATCACTAAACTCCTTGATGGCCTCTGTAAATGATAAAAATATTAGAAAAATATTTATTTCAAAAGGTAAAGATTTCCTTACCATCAGTAACGCCAGTCTTGGGTGCACAAATGTCATGGAAATGCTTGGCCAACTTCAGAATTGCTGGTGGTGGATACTACAAATATGAATTAAATATGGAAAACTACAATTTTCAAATAGATCCAACCTCAGCATCGCGTCTAGGCTCCTGGCCAGCCACACAGACCAGGAAAATTATGGGTAGAGCTAGGCATTTCAGCATTTTGAAGTCACAATGAATGGAAATGGGCTGGGAATGGGCCCTTTTATGAGACAGCCCCGGGGGCTCCATTGCCATATGCGGACTCTGTGATGACTGTCATTAGAAACGCACACTAATTGCAGGTTGCCATTTGCAATCGAATTGTGAATCCATTTGGCAGGCAGCACGCGAGCGAGCCAAATGAATAAATGACAGCCCATACAGAGCGGCAATTGATAGCAAAATGCCAAATGGAGGACTAAAAACTGGAAAATACACAAATTAAGCAATGATTGTATTGTGGCCGAGACCTGCAATTTTTCGAGTGTCATCCGCGACACGCTGAATTGGTTCAATGCGATTCTGAGTCGAGCTCTGTTTTGGAATACTTTATTTTTGTGGGCGTTCCAACACGCACACATTACAAGTGTTGCCACGTTTTTATTCTCTCTGTGTGTGTGTGGGTGTGTGTGTGTGTGTAGCGGGGAAACATGTCATAAAAGTCAAATATCGCTGTACGAAGAGGCGTACGTACGTATGTCAAATTCAATTCCAAATTGCGTTCTTTTGACACGCCCCAAAACGTCAGCAAATTTGCGTAGACAATAGTGAAATATATTTGAAATGCTCGACATAACTCAATTGCCTTGAAGTTGGGCACTGAAGGGTCGCCATCAATCAGTGTTTTCTACCCAAAAAAAATGTATATTACATATTTCATATCGCATCTGAATGTGCTGAAAATTTTTAAGTTTGCGACAGAAATATTGCAGACTTTTTTGGGATCAAAAAAAATATTCCTAGTTTTAACATTCTTGCACAAAGAAGAATATTTAATTTTTGAGTAAATTAGTTGATAAAAGTAAGCCCAGATGACAGAGTTATACAATCTTTTAAACTGCTTAAAAATGCTCAATATTTTGTCAAATGTGTTTTGATTTACTGAAACTAGAAATTCTCATTAAAGTCTTTTAAATGCTTCATATGTCCTTGTATTTTTTATTTATTAAAGCATTTCTATGTTTAAGGTCAAATATTTTACAAGTATTAAGGTCTCTTGCCTATCCTTTGAAAGGTATGAAACCTTTGATTAAAACTTTTTTTTAGGTCCAAATTCTAAACGACCCATTTTGATAATCTGCCTAAGCTTTTGCAATCTTTTCATTCAAAATAGATACATTTTATTTGACTAATTGGAAATCAGACTGCTCTGCAGCTTTGTAAGCTGCATTTTCCACTTGTAGGTCTTCCTGCTTTTTGTTCAAATTCTGTTGGCAACACATCCCCAGTGCCGGAGCACATCAATCAGCCGTGAAATCAAAGCAATTTCTATGCGCTGCTCTCAATCAGCATTGCATACGCATACGCATCGTGGCTTGATGCAATTGCAACTGCCACAGCAACATAAATTGCAGCAGCAACAGCAGCAGCAGCAGCAGTGGCAAGTGCAACAGAAATTGCATTCGTTGCCTGTGGATGCGTGGAATATAATTATGGGTATGTTGCTCCCTCGCAGCTGGCTGTCTGCCATGTATTAATTTTATTATGACGCCATTAATGCTTGTCGATGCATAAAATTATCGATGCGCTCTTTAGATAGCGCTAATTAAATAATTAAATATGCTTTAGGTCATTGCCAGTCATCCGATTTATGAGCGCCATCGATCAGGCGCGACAATTATGCAATTTCAGATGATGGCAACAGCTGGATGAAATATACATTTTCCACTTTTTTTTCTTATATTTTATTCATTAAACTCCCCTCCTTGGAGCTGCGCAGGGATGTACTAGTAATAAGCCATAAATCCCAAATAATCCCAGTCCTTGCATCTCGTTGCATGTCGTTTTTTCAGTGCTCAAAGGACGACACTCAGCAGTTCGCTATTTGCTCCCCAGGATGTCCACCTTGCTCTTGGGTTAGCTCATCTGAAAAACTCCAATTGATGCATCTCTTATGTAATTAGAGCACTGACAAAAAAAGTAATAAATGACTTACAAGAACGGTCCTTAAAATGTGTAGTTGTTGAACAAATATTAAACAAAAAATTATATTTTTAAAGAAGAGAACTGGTTTTTTATACTTCTCCTCTCTTCTCAAAATTAAATCACTTTCTAAAAAATGAGTGAAATATTATTAAATAACAATCAATTTTTTCTTTGTGTAAACAAAAGAAATAGCTCAAAGATTTCCCTGCAAAGGCGTTTCCATTTCCTTTAAAGATTTACAAAATACTTAACTGACATAGTGACTGATGACTTTGCAAGCACAAAAGTTAAACTCGTTAATCGGTGGAAAATCTTCCCATTTCACTGTATCCAACCATGTTTTAGTTTTGCCAAAAAATAAACTTAATTTAGAAAGCAGATTAGCGTCAATTCAATGCATAAGGCAACTTGTCAAAATATCCACCTAATATTTTAATCCGATAAAACTTCCATGTTACTCTTTTTGCTGCAACAAAAAAGCAGAGAAAAAATGAGGATACTGTCTCATCTATTCCCAGAATCAGATGCCACACGTGACAGCGAGTTGCAAGTTGCAAGTCGTGGGGGGAAAATGGGAAAGCTCAAGACTTAAGTAGCCGTAAGCTGGATATCGATGCACGTGAGTGACGGTTGGGGGCGGGGAGATGCCGGCGACTTAGTGGCTCAGTGGCTCATTGGCCATCACGTGCCAAGCCAAATTGAAAGACTTATGACTGCTGCCACGAAGCTTGCATAACAGGCATCAGTCAAATTAGCCTTTTGCCAATCAAATATCGCTCTAAAGGTGCGAGAATGCATAACGCGCTAATAGGCAGCTTGTATTAAGTATACGCCCCGTTGAACTGTGGCATAAGGCAAGGAAATTTCATCGAGAGAAAATTAGTGATTAAACTGACAATATTAAGACCTTTAAGGTAATTCAAGTACATTTTTTACACCCAAATATATAAGGTTTTGTACCAAGCTTGTTCCTTTTTAATTATTCCTTAGATTTACTCACTTTGTTTTTTGTTTTGTTAACCCTTGACAAATTTTCCCACAGTGAGTGAATCGGTGTAGAAATGGCTAGCTGCCATGAAACAATCGTTGCTGTTAAGGCAACAAGTTAATTGCAATAAGAACAGCAGCAACAACAACAACAGAAGGCGCAAATAAAACACGCACCGAGCCATTAAAAATAATGTGAGTAGCTCCCTCTCCCCACCAGAACCTTGAGCACCATCATTTGTCGCACACGAAACGCGTTAATTATGGCCATTGCAGTTGGCCCAGACCGATTCCCATACCATCCACAGCATTCATTAATTACTATGCAAGCTAAGCGCTTGGCAAAAGTTTCGGACAGGACCCCGGGTTCTCTCCTCTTTGCCTACTTTGACATGCAAGCGCAAAGTGTCAAATTAATTTTTAATCACTGCCGCCACCCCGAGAATGTTGCCAAATAATAGATTTAGATGGCAGAATGGCAGTGGGGAAGGGGAAGGGCAGTGCGTGCGCTGTAATTAAAGTTTTTGGCATCTGGTGGCACAGTTTTAATGTAAAATTGCCACGCAAAAGGTCGGATAGGTTAAGGGGATGTGTGTGGCCAAGTCATTGAGATAACGCAAAGCTAAGAGTATAGGGTATTTCCATGGTCGTTAGCCTAGCATCCAACTTGTTTTCATTTTCCCCTCCACCCTCACAATTGTTTGACTTGGGTTTAGGCAGCGCTGTCATCGCCCCACACCATCTGCCATAGCATCCTTGTCACTCCTGGCTCTGGGCCATAATAATGCACTTTAATGCTGCACTGAGCATCGGACAGCAATCTATTGACATTTGACACTTGCAAATTAAACGCTTGCAGGCAACATTGGCATAGGAACTCAGATGGTTGCCGACTGGCCTCGACTGGCTGCACAATTTATTGACACCTTATTTGGGGAACGCAACACACTAAATAGCACAACTCGTTTTTGCGGTTTGCACATGCAATTTACATGTGTAATTTTTTGGAGCTGCATCGAACATCGACATGAAAAGTTACGCCGCCGCCGCCCATCGTCAGTTTTGGGAACCGCAGGACTAGAGAGCAAATGACAGCTGGACGACAACTTCGTTAAATGAACTCTGACCAGAGTTCTGTCCTAATGAACACTGGAACACTGGAAGTATTCATTTAATAAAGGGAACCAATTGTTAGTAATTAATACTTATATAGAAATTCAGAATGATAATGTGATGAGCCCTTAAAACTCTTGAAGAGATTGAAAGTAAAACTAATTTAAATATTAATGTTCCTCTAATTAAAAGACCCCTTCTAATGGTTTCCTATCATTTTTCAAAGTATAAATATTTAATATATTAACAAGAAAGGAAGCTAACTTCGGCACGCCGAAGTTTATATACCCTTGCAGATAGAACTTCTTTGACTAGGAATCCAAACAATATAAATTATATATATTTATGTTAAAAAACAATGAATTAATACTTGTTTTCATTTCATTCACCTTTGCATATTATATTTGCAGTTTTACATTCAGAGATTTGCATTTTTGATATAACGATCGTTTGTATGGCCCCTATATGATATAGTCGTCCGATTTTCATAAAATTTTACGCAATATTTAAAACTAATATAAAATGGCTATACCTCAAATTTGATTAAATTCTGTTGAAAACTGAAAATGTTATCGTCACCGCGATTGTCAGTCTTCCGACAACAACCACCGCCATTCTCAGTTCTTTCAAATTTCTCGATCGGTCCTATGGAAGTTATATGATATATTAGACCGATTTTCATAAAATTTTACACAAAATTGTAGAATAATACAAAATGTATATATCTTAAATTTGATTAAATTCTGTTGAAAACTGAAAATGTTATCGTCACCGCGATTGTCAGTCTTCCGATAACAACCACCGCCATTCTCAGTTCTCTCAAATTTCTCGATCGGTCCTATGGAAGCTATATGATATATTAGTCCGATTTTCATAAAATTTTACACAAAATTGTAGAATAATATGAAATGGCTATATCTCAAATTTGATTAAATT